CCCACCTTTCTTCCACACTATCAGCGATCATTTGATGACCAGGGTTTTGCTCGGCATCACTACGCAACTTCTCGACCTTCCCGGTGAACCGCCTCACCTCCCGCCCGTTCTCATTCAATTGCCATGTTAACATCATCATATCGAGTCTGCACGAGATCGCCTTTGCTTCGTTCGACGATGAATGTACAAATTTCTCGAACATCGTGACGTTTGACGCGCGAAGATAAGTCCTAGCGGTGCGCACAATGTCGCCATTGTCGCACTGCGGTCGGTCAGCGCATGCGCGACCGGCGTAGGATGGCCCATCATCACCATTAGCGCCTAATCTAGGCGTCGCATTCTCGACACTTGCGTCGCCGTGCGCATGATAGCGGCGGGTCGTCGTCGCTGCGAGAGCGTACGTCAGCAGCGGGTGTGCATAACGTGTCGCTTGAGTGTCGCCGTAATAGTTTTGACGACGGCGGTCAGTTCGTCGGACATGACGCTGTAGGTCGAATCACTAGCATAAGCCCGGCACAGTGCACGGCGAGACTCGTCTCTGATATGCTCGGGACTGTCCGACAGTCCTGAGTTTAACGATCCACGTCATATCTGCGAACGTCAGGGCGGATAGAAAAAGAAGAATGGATAAGAAAGAAGAAAAAACCGGACTTTGAAAGAAGAGAAGAAGAAGAAGAAAGGAAGAAGAAGAAGAGAGAGAAGGGAAAAGCGGATGATAGAAAGAAGACAAAGAAGCGGCTGAAGCTTGTTTAGAAAGAAAACGAAGAACGGAGAAGTGGATTTGAAAGAAGAAGAGAAACAGGAAAGCGATAATGAAAGGACATGTGTCATCCTGTTGTTTATCGAAACATGACGAGTAGTCTGTGAGTATCATAAACTTAATTATTGACTTTAATTGTCGTAAAATTTTCGAGTGCGCAGTGCGTTGAAGTTGACAGTTCTTTATGACTGTGATTTGTCGTAAATATTTACTGCTTTCCTGATAATGTCCTCGACACCCCCGCTTGCCTGTCACTCACACAGACAGACAACAAATACAACACCAAGCGCACGACGAACACGCACAACACTTACACACGCCTCACCCACACATACACACGCACACGCACAACATCACCACCACACACACACACAACATACACACTCAAACCACACACACACACACACACACACACACACACACACACACACACACACGCCGCGTCACACACACACATACACACGCACGCACACGCACATGAACACGCCCCGAAACACACCTCACACACACCCCATACACAGACTGCACACACCACACACACGCGCGCTTATCACACACACACATACACACGCACACACACACGCACACACGACACAGCACACGCCACGCATTATTTACCTGCTGATGTTCTGTTTACCAGCTTCCTCTAGAAAGTGAGCGCGTACAGCCACGGGCATATAGAGCACGACAACACGCAACTACGCGCGTCTCCAAATTCTGCTTTACTGTGACTGATCAGCTTTCTCGTCATCTGTGAGCCAGGATCTCTCCTGGCTTTGTAGTATTCCTCCATCGCCAGGCATAACTGATCCCATAGCAGCCAAAACTCTTCTAGCTTCCTGAATACCTGCAGAGACACACAAAAATGACTGATACACACAGAATAAACAGAAATACAGAGATACACGCAGCAAAACACGAAATAACCACAGAGAATACACACAGGAGATATACACAGATGTATACACAGATATACACACAGAGATACACACAGCTGGATACCCACAGATATCACACGAGATACACACAGAGATTACACACAGGATACACACAGAGATACATAGAGAACACACAGAAGTACACATCAGAGATACCACACACGCGATCACACAGCGACACACACAGATATACAACATGCAGAGGTATTCACACAAGATATTACAACAGACTATACACACAAATACACACAGAGATTACACACAGAGATACAACAGATGATACACACATAGACCTACTACAACAGATATACACACATGAGACGCATAGAATATACACAAGATATACACACAAAGAGATACCGCGAGATACACACAGGGACGCATAGATTATACACGACAGATATACGCACACGAGATACACACAGAGATACACACAGAGATACACACAGATATACCACAGTATACACACAGGATTTACACACAGAGACAATAGATATACACAGATATACACACAGAGGAACACACAGCAATACACACAGAGACAATAGATATACACACAGATAACACACAGATAGTACACACAGATATACACACACAGATATACACACAGAGATACACACAGATATAGACACAGGAGCTACACACAGATATACACACGAGAGAGCCCAAGATAATACCACAGATATACACACTAGTATACACACAGCGATACACACAGATATACACACGCAGAGATACATCGACAGCAGATTATACACACAGATATACACACAGGAGATACACACAGAGATACACGGCAGAGATACACACAGATATACACACATAGATAGACGACAGATATATCACATCAGGACATGATATGACAACGGTATACACACAGAGATACAACAGAGAATACACACAGAGACGCCCATAGATATACACGACAGATATACACACAGAGATACACACAGTAGATACACACAGAGAGAATACACACAGATATTCACACACAGATATTACAAACACGATATACACACAGGAGACACATAGATATACACACAGATTACACACAGAGATACACACAGATAATTACACACAGAGCACACATAGATATACACCGATATACTCACAGATAATTAACACAGATATAACCACAGATTACACACAGAGATACACACAGATATTACCTACAGAGATTACACACAGATATACACACACGAGACGCATAGATATACACAGATATACACACGCAGAGATTACGACGACAGAGATACGACACAGAGATACACACAGATATAAACAGATATACATCACAGATATACACTACCAGAGACACTAGATATACACACAGATATACACACAGAGCATACACACAGATATTACACACAGAGAACATAGATATACCAACAGATATACACACAGATATACACACAAGATATACACACACGATTTACACACAGAGATACACTCACAGCATATACACACAGGCAGTACACACAGAGTATTACACACAGAGATACACACAGATATAACACACAGCAGATCACACAGATATACTCACAGAGGATTACACACAGATATTACACACAGAGGACGCATCGAATATTACACATAGATATACACACAGATATAGACCAGCGATACATAGCATACCGATACAGCACAGAGATACCACAGAGATTACACACAGAGATACACGACAGATATTGACACATCAGATATACACACAGACGATATCACACAGAGACACTAGATTACACACAGAGATGATGCAACGATGGAGCAAGCGGCGAACAGTCCGTTGTAGGACGCAAAATAATAGGCACCGCCAACAGAATGTCATTTTATAATCTGACATAATACATCGTGCGCATATGCGTGCGGCTGAATCATCTAATATGTAGAAAATTAACGATTATTTGTTAATAATTATTACATTAGTTATTAATTATTAATCATTAGAAACAGTCGTTCGTCGTAAACAGCGATAATTCACTTAAGTGCAATATTTCGTGATGGATATTGGATCGTAATGTATGACAGCCAATTAATAATTGTTTCAATAAATTATTAACCTACGTGTTTTATGACGCAGGTGCATGATACAAGTTTACGCTATACGTTCAATATTACACACACGCCGTGCACTACACGCACACCACACAACACACACACACAACATAAACTACACACACACACACGCACACACACACATCACACACACGCGCACACACACACACACACACACACACACACACACACACACACACACACACACACACACACACTGTGTTCTCTTTCCATAAAGATACTGCAGGCATTCTCAGCAATGTTGACACCGTATCTTACCTTCACGACCGTACATGTCATCCATGGCAATAGCAGCAATATACTTCCATTCAAATCTCTTCATTAGATCCATGATGGCATGCGCTTGCATTACATGAGATGTGACAGTGCGGAATGCTAGCGGGTATTCGCTCAGGACCTTTGTCTCTGCCCCGTACGACACCTATCCGTGGCAAAGTTCACATCAATTACCAACTTACCCCATTAATAATACGAAACAGGGGGAATAATATTTTACATTAATTTTTTTTTAATAAAAGATTTCTTTCATTTAAATTTTACCTATTAAACATTACATTTAGAGGCCCTGGAACTTTCTTGGGTTACCATCGGTATCTGATAGATGGTGGGTTAGTGGTTACGACCTGTGTTTACCATCGCTATCTCATACGGCGCGAATATCGACGCCACTGCGAGACTCTGATCGCTCGTCTTCGGTCCGACGACGGCCGAAACCGGCCTCGGCGCGCACGCCGAGTATCCGGAATCCGGAACATTCTGGAATCCGGAATCCGGGACATCCGGACGCGTGGCGCTGCATCCGCGTCCGGCGGCCGAATGCCAAATATGGGCAACGTTCATCGCATGCGCCGCAGCCACCGTCAGACTACTGCACGTGTCCCGGATGTCCCAGCCAAGCGTGTGCTCTGGTAGGATCGAACTGTCGTTATTGATACGTTCGATTGCGTATCGGAACGCTTCTACCTGCAGCGCTGACGACAGTGCAATGCCGCCGCACGGCACCGACCGACCGCCGACAACTGTTTTGTATGTGATCGGTATGAGACCGCCGACGATGAAATCCCCGTCCTCGTAGAATCTCATGTCGCCACGTCGGCTGTCGTCGACTGTGGCATCCGTTGCCATGACGACCACGCAGAGCAGCGTCGCTAGCGTGCGTGAGAGCGACGTGTGGAGGAGGAGAAGCGAGGGCGACGCCATGTTGTCTAGCGCGTGATTCACGGGCCGTGACGTTCACGGCTGTAATGGGTGGTCCTAAGATGTCGCTGTCACACAAAGTTTGGTCCGTGATTCATGCAGTAATACATGATTCACGGCCGTGATGGGTGGTCTTAAGATGTCGCTGTCACACAAAGTTTGGTCCGTGATTCATGCAGTAATACGTGATTGACGGCCGTGATGGGTGGTCCTAAGATGTCGCTGTCACACAAAGTTTGGTCCGTGATTCATGCAGTAATACGTGATTGACGGCCGTGATGGGTGGTCCTAAGATGTCGCTGTCACACAAAGTTTGGTCCGTGATTCATGCAGTAATACGTGATTCACGGCCGTGATGGGTGGTCTTAAGATGTCGATCGCTGTCACACAAAGTT